TTATTTTTAAAATACTTATTTAAATTTTTATATTTAACATTTAATATAGAAATTCCAAACTATAGCTAGTTATTGTTTTGATTCTAATTATTTTCCTTACATTTTCTCTGTCCTTATTTTTTTTTTACTTACAGAGCACTAAAAGTTGTTTAGAAATTAATTTACAAAATCTTAAAGAAAAATGTTCATCTCTTTTCTTTAGAGACAAAAGACAATGTCAACAGACAATATATACTCTGTCTCTTCCAGCTGAAATAAATAACATATCAGAATTCCAGAGGTATTTAATGTCTGAAGATAATTTAACACATAATATGCAGTCCTGCATTTCTCTTTGATTTATTCATTTGTAAGCTCCTCAAAGACAGACAGAAGTCATGTGCTCTGCTTTTTTGTTGTTGTTTCTAACTTTAACTATTATAGTGATAGAAACATAGATCCATATGTTCATTAATTGGTTGATGGGAACAAGTGAACCAACTATAGAAAAATATGGTTAGAAAAACAGTCTCTTTAATGATTCTTTAAGAATTCTATTTTTTTATTTGTTTCATAGGTTTAAACTTTTTTAAATGTTGTCATTACAAATAGAATACATATAAATTTAAATTATATGTATTTTAATTTATATTTTCTTCCCTATTAGCAACTCCAATTTTTGCCTTACTTTTTTGGGGTTCTTTATAAGCAATAAATATCCCAAGATATATCACCTATTGGTGATACATATATATCACCAATTGATATATATATATATATATATATATATATATATATATATATATAAAGTATTGTATTGTTACTGAATTTATAAAACATTTTGTACATTTTATGAAACTGTTTAATAAACTAGAAATGGATAGTTCAAAATGCTGTATCAGTAGGCTATTGGTTTGATAAGTTAATTACTGTCACAAGAAAAGTGACTATAAATTATTCACTCTACGTAAGACTGACTGTTGCTTTGAGCAACTACCCACAGACTTGATCTTAAATACCTGTTTCTTCTCCATTTTAGTTTAAGCGTCATGTGGCTGTATTTAAAATGATATCTGAGCAAGTGTCTTATAATTTGTTTTAGGTGAGTGCAAGATACTCAAACTACCACATTTTCTAATAAAGATTGAAAACATGCCAAACTCAATTATTCAACTGGTAATTTCAATCAGTTGAGATTTACTAGCCTCAAATCAGAGCTTTTGATGGGTTATTATAAAAGTAGAATAGTTGAGAGTTGAATAAGACCTGGTTGTTGAAATCACATGAGATTATAGTATTTACCAATACCTTCACATCATTTGTACATCAAATGTTTTACATCAAATGTACATTTTAGATAAGTCTATTTGAATTCTTCCATGTCAACTGTGTACTATAGATAGACAATATTTAATATTTTTAAAGCCCAAAGTGCCATTTTTATACTGATTAAGTCAAGGCAAGTGCAGTGCCAATGTTTTCTGAATCAAAACACTGGTAACATGATCTGAAAATTACATATATGTAAGAAAAAAACAACAAAGCATATTAATTCACTCATTCATTGGTTGTGAAATTTTCTTATTGCAGAAAAACATAGGATAGTTTCCTCATTTCAAATTATTGTTGTTTTTTCTATTTTGGAAGAATAAATTTTCTATTTCCATAAGTCATCTGAGTAGATAAACAGAGTTGAACAAATCAAAAACAATAAAAAAATACAATGGAAGTAATTATACTAAGGTAGATAGAGAACTACTCTAAATTATTTTTGAAATTTTACAATGAAAATATGACATTCTAAAATTTTAGAATTTGATGCACAAACAATACTTCTGAGCTATGTAGAATATTTTATTTCACTTTGGAGAATGCCTTAAGAACCTGAGAAGTATTTTATCTAATGTATGGTAAAGGTGTACTAATTGAGAACAAATAAACAATGAACTTTGCCCCAGGAAAAAAGAAAAAGATTTACTCCCTCTGGCTTGAAAGACTGTCTCAGTTATACAGCATGGATGTATTTCTTTTCCTTTTGGAACAGTCTGAATATAGATTATTTTTCTTTCTGGAAATGCAATCTCTTTAATCAGCTTGCATTAAACTGCTTTTCTGTTAAGAGATTAACAAATAAGTAATTTAATCATTATTTCACATATAATTGAATAATGTGAATCCATTATTAAAAGAGCACCAGAATGCTAACGGCTATTATTTTCTATATTTGCTATTCTACAAACAATAATCAAAAACTCTAAGTATTGAGAAAAATATTTTATCTAACTTTCCTTCAGGCAAGGTCGTCATAGCAGTTTCAACAAATATCTATATTTATTTTTTAAATATTTGCCTGTTGATATCACAAGGCTTAATCTTTTAATACAAAGGCATATTCATCTCTGTATCCTCACGACTAGAGTTAAGTAAGTCCTATGAATAGGTAGCCAAGGGCCCAGTAACTAAAGGCGCCTTCCCCTTTGGAGTTTCTCTTTATCACACCCCTTAATCAAGCCTTAGAACACTCCTAAAGTGCACCATAATTGATTTTCTTTACCTAGGTTTTACTTCAGGCTGTAGTTACATGACTTTCTCAAAACTGTTCTTTTCTTTTTTTTTTTTTTTTTAATCCTCTCCCGAGGACATTTTTTCTATTTTTTGTTCAGATAGAGTGTGGGAGGGAGAGAGAGAGAGAAACATCGACGTGAAAGGGACACGTCGAGTGGTTGCCACCCACACGACCCAACCAGGGCCGGGGACAAACTGCAACCGAGGTATGTGCCCTTAGCGGGAACCCTCTCAGGACCGCAGGCCGACGCTCTAACCGCTGAGCCAAACCGGCCAGGGCAAAACTGTTCTTTTCTTGATTATTATATTTAAATTTTAAGATACTGATAGATACATAAAACTATAAGCAATAATACAAAGATTCTAAATGCCCTTTATCTAATTTTCCCAATGGTAACATCTTGCAAAACTGTGGTATAATATTAACAACAGGATATTAATAGGATTTTCTATTACCACCAGATCCCTCTGGTTGTCCTTCCATAGCTTTACCAACTTCACTGCAGTTCTTTCTTTAAATCTAAATTCTAAGCAATGTCCATAATCCTTAGTCCATGGGGTCAGGATGTCTGTTTTTTCCCTGCTTTACAGTTGTTTTTAGATAATGCTGGTTTAGATCAGTCCAAAGATTATTTTGCCCCAGTTAAACATTCCAAAGGGTTCAAGGAGTAAGACATGCCAAACATTTTCTCTGGACTGGTTCCTCCAACTCTGTTTTGAAATGGCTCTGTTTATTTAATTTTTAAAAATATATAAATGAAATAACATAGTCTTTGACCCTTGGGGATTAGCTGTTTTTACTCTACATAAATCCCTGGAGATTTTTCCAAATTATTTGACGTATCAATAGCTTGTTTCTTTTTATTGCTCGGTAGTGAATCTTGGACAAAAGGGTTTTATCCACACCTAGGAATGGTTAAGGCCAGAGGGAGAACTACTGTAGTGAGTTCTCGATATAGGTCAGAGGGTAGGTAAATAAAAGAGGTCTGACTGAAAGGTGATTAATTGTGCATAAAAATCCTGACAGAAGCCATCCAAACCTAACTACATATTGCAACAAAAGGTTGGTCGTTGTTGGGAATCTTTTGAGCAAATATTACCAACTACAGCAGTAGAATTTTACAATAGCTTCAATATGTGATATAAAAAGTAAAAATTATTGGGTCATCCTAACCTTTCTTGGTTTGAATGATACAGAATTAGTAGTGTTGACCCATTCTTTTGAAATGTAATGTGTCTGAAATGAGGTATTCTGACATCATGACCAACAAAATTTTATATGTCAAAGTCATGAAGTCTAAGATATGAAATAACTTCAGAGAAAGCCAATGAGTTCATTGTAATTTTGGTGACCTGAACGCTGGAGTGAAACTACATCCTTCAGAAACATGGATTCTACGAATATGAGAGACTAGGACAGAGTTACGGGAAATCCTTAGTCAGTAAAAGGTAGTGGAGCCTTTCAAAATAATATATTGGTGGTAAAAAGTGTGGAAACAGCTAGTTAACCATCCTATGGCAGAAAAGAAGTCCAGGATTATTACCTGCGATTTATAAGATTGATCTCCAGTAGCATGCATGCACTCTACTGAGCACCAAAATCAATAAAATGTGATTGAAGAAAAATTATATATTATTCATATTTCTCTCTGTGTGTCTCTCTGTCTCTGTCTCTCTCTCCATTTTTATATATAATGTATAATTATATATAAGGTCAAAAGTTTTTTTAAAAGACTGAGCTTTAGTCCAGCACAATTTATAGATTCACACGGGCATCCTTTGTCCTTTTGTCAGTTGACCATGAGGCAGGTATGAAAGCACCACAAAAATTTTGAGGAAACAGAGGAATTCTAAGGAAGACAGAGGAGTTGACAGTGGTACTCTTAATGATTTCTGTTGTTTTAATTGAGATATAATTGACATATAACATTATATTAGTTTCAGGTGTACAACAAAATGATTCAATGATGTATATATTATGAAATGATCACAGTAAGTTCCAAGTTAACATCCATCACCACACACAGTTTTCATTCCAAGCAAATAACAAAGAGAATTTAAAGCTTTTGAAGGGGATATTTTGGTTCTAATAAATCTATCTTGAAGACTTCCCTAAATGTCTTCTTTGCAAGTTCAAAGACCCAAGAAGTTGAATTTAAAAAATAAACCAGGTAAATTTCTAGATTTTAAACTTCACTTTATTGTTTAATCTTTAAGAATAGTAAAAACATTGTGGAAGTTAGGTAAAAATCATACAAATAGTACTGATTTTTCATATGTGGACTTAAAAGTTTTTGAATATTCTATTATGAATCACTGATATTAATAAATAAGGAAATATCACATGTAGAGTTTTATTTCATTAAGTGTTTAAATATATATATTTTTCTAATTTAAAATATATATATATTTTTTCTAATGCCAGCTAAAAGAGTTGGACAAAGAGGAGGTTTTTCTTAGATCTCTGAACGAAATTTCAGTGTAGATCCTTTCATCTTCTTTTCATAATCTTCTTCAAATTTCTCATACTGGGCTACAGTGAAATGATTCTTCCAGTCTCCTGAAATACCTGAAAAGAAAGATAAATGGTAAATTTGAGATTACTATCATATCTCCTTCTAAGATTCGTTCCAATTCGAATTATCACTCATATTTCTAAGCCTTTAAATTTAGAATGTGATATGTACTCCATAACTCCTTTCATTACCTCTGACTACCACTCCCAGACTCCTAGACCTTCTTAACTTTCAAAAAATTTTACATATTTTCCCCATATCATATAGAAAGAAAAAAATATTTTAAGTAGCTTTAAGAAATGTCACTGGGAGAATATTCAACATATCAAAATATTTATTTACTCTTTGGTTTCAAGAGAGTTTTTAACAAAAGATACAGAGAATGTTTCAGTCCTTTTAAAACCCTATTTTTCAAGGTCAGATGACAATTTCTTTTAAAAAGTTCTGTGATCAAGTAAGATTTGGAAATCACAGGGTTAAATGTAGTTAAACATGCATCTTTAGTATAGGTTGTTTGATTTTCAAAATATAACCATATTTAAAACCACAAAGGAAGGATACAAGACAGCATTTGCCATAAATATGTAATAAAAACAATGCCATTTCCATAGAGTATCTCACAGGGTAACCCAGAAGACACATCTGAAAGTTGAGTTTTAGAAAAAATAATGGAAGAAAACATGCCAAAGTAGTTTTGTCATTATGGCCCAGGATTTCTGAACTTTGGCATTTTATTTTTACCTTTACTCTTCACATTTGAACCAGACAATTATTTGCTGGTAAGGATGTGAGGTTGCCCCGTGCATTGTAAGATGTTTATCAGCATCCCTGGCCTCTATATACTAAATGCCAGTTACATACCCCTATCATAACCATCAAAAATGCCTCCAGATATTTCCAGATGTTTCCTGGGAGGCAAAATCATATGTGCTTGAGATTCAGATATCCCCAGCAGGACTTTTCCATGGTACACGTCCTAACTTTTTAAAAAGAAAAATCTCTAGAATGCATGAAGACACATTATAATTATAATTGCTCTTAGTAGTCCCTTTATAGGCTCTCACCAAAACACTTGTTTCTCCAAAACTGTGTCAGTTGTATTATTCACTCCCTCCTTCATTGTAAGGACATTTTACATCTCTGACAATCGTGTGTTGTGTGATTCCTCCTTGCCTCACTAACTTTGGGCTTGAATTTTTTATATGCTTTGGCCAATTAAGTTGATTATGTGCAATATCACATTTGAACAGAAGCTTTTAAAAGGCATTGCAAGTTTCCACTACCCCTCTTGCCCTTCATCTACACCATGACATTGGGCATGTTCCACAGATCGGCAGCTCTTTCAGCCTGGGTTTCCGAAAGAGAAGCCCATGGCTGCCATTAAACACTGGCCAGACTCAAAAAGAGCTGAGCAGAATTGCAGCAGCCACAAGTGACCTATAATAATGTCCACCAACATTAAATGAAAATTAAATCTTGTGGTTTTAAGCCACTGAGATTCTTTGAGTTGTTTGTTTTATAACAAAGCTGACTAATAAGCTCAAAAGTAACAAAATCAGTCTCTCTCTCTCTCTCTCTCTCTCTCTCTCTCTCTCTCTCACACACACACACACACACACACACACACACACACACATATGCAAGTCAATTCAACTCATATTTGTTATTTATTAAATAACTATTTTGTGCAAGATGATATAGCTACACATTGAGGTCAATGCCAAGGATGCAATAATTTACCATAATCATAGCAACAACCTCAAGGAGTTGACACTCTCCCTCATTAATTTAGCATGCTGAACATCATGTAAGCTTGCTACCTACCACAGCAAAATTTCTTAGAAATGGGGATAGATATATAGGTAATTCATAAAAAATAAAGGGCATTTTTCTGATGTAGCAATAGATGCCAAGACTCAAGATTATCAATGTATAGGCTCTTGAGTAAACAATTCTTATTGAAGGCTTGTCTTACATGTTAGTATTACAGCAATAATAGTTTTTTTTTTTGCCATAAATTATTTTCTCTAAAGTTTTTAGTTTTCCTACATTTTTCTCTCAATCTCCTTCCATTTCATATAATATTGCTATTATTAATCCACCTACATTTTCTTTTATGTGACTAGCAAGCTCTACAGAAATTAGTATATGATTTTCTCACCTTTTCTCATGAAGGGAGACACAGAATGATCCATATCAAATGATGGCACAGTAGTATAATTTGCACAAGGATTTTGCTTCATCACATCAAATGAGGTATGATAGAGGATTTTATTCACAGTTTCTTCTGGTAGATTTTTATCTAGAAATTTTAACAACTTCTGAATTTCACGTTTTGGATCCTAAAAAATTATAAAGACAAGGAATTATTTCAGGTAGATTTAGTCACAAAGTAGGCAAATACATTCAGTTAGGTTCTATAGGTCAATCTAGTGGAGGAAATTATTTTATATTTTATCCACACATTTCATTTTTCTTTCCCAAGTATATATCCTGGTCTTGGTTGTAACAGGCAATCATCTGCTAGAAAAAATTTGTTTCCAAAAAGTACAAATGAAAAGACAGAATTAATGTTCAACCTTTCACATTCAAAAAAAAAATTAACCTGTAGAACAGGTGATAATAAAGGAAGTTACTATTACCATAAGATATCATTTTCAAAATTCCCTTGTCTGTTTTTTTCATAGTTAACATCAAGAATAGATTACCTACCAAAAATTTTAGTAAGAATTAATACAAATCCTTCTCAAATCCTTCTCAAACTCTTCAAAAAAAGAAAAGGAGGGAACATTTCTAAACTTATTTTATAAGGATAGCATTACCATGATACCAGAGCCAGACAAGGACAAGACAAGAAAATTAGAGACTAACATCCCTGACTAACATAGATACAAAATACTAGCAAACGAAATTCAACAGCACTCTTAAAGGAACATATACCATGATCAAGTGGGACTTATTCCAGGGGTGCAAGGATAATTCAACATCTGTAAATCAATCAAAGTGATACACCACATTAACAAAACAAAAGATAAAAATAATATTATCATCTCAATAGATATAGAAAAAGCATTTGATAAAATTCAACATCTATTTATAATAAAAACTCTCAAAAAAGTGGGTATCGAGGAGACATATCTCAGCATAATAAAGGGCACATATGACAGGCCCATATCTAACATATTTAGTGGTGAAAAGCTGCAAATATTTCCTCTAAGGTCAGGAACAACTCTTAACTACAGTTAGTAATACTGTATTGTATATTTGGAAGTTGCTAAGAGAGTAGATCTTAAAAGTTCTCATCACACACAAAATATTTTGTAATAATATGTGGTGATGAGTGTCAACTAGACTAAATGTGGTGATAATTTCACAATATATACATATATTGAATCATTATGTTGTATACCTAAAATTAATATTATGTTATAGGTCAATTATATCTCAATAAAGAAGAATAGATTACTTAGCTCAGAGAGTTATCTTATAGTGGAAAAAGACTCTCTTTATATCCTTCACACCTACATAGATTGTTTTGGTAGTATGAGTACATTAGAAGAAAGTAAAATAAAATTCTGTCCATTGGATAGTGAGGAGAAAGAGACAACAACGAAGAAGAGAGACTCATTTGATGTATTTATTATAATTTCCCTTTTCTGTGCTTCAAACTGCACATAAGGAAGCATGTTAGATAAAATGAAAGAATGGCACTCCGGCCAAGAGTTTGTACCCTGCTATCCATTGGTGAGGTGTTCTTGGTGGTACTAATCAAACTGAAGTAGAGTCCTGAGGCACAGTGACCTGGTGAGATCAAGCAGAAGGGCAATCTGGGGTTTAGCTTCCTGAGTTACCCATCTCATTTCATGAAAACAGAACCAGAGTTTCTGCAGTAGCTTTAAAAGAATATGTTTCTTGTAGCAACAGAACTAAATTTGCTGGAAATTAGACATACACCTTATTTATTCTATCAGAGAAATTATAATGAAAGTTGAATTTTCAGTTGTGCCAAGTCCATTATGTAAAAATTAAATGGAAGAGATGGGAAAAAGGTGGACTACTCAAACTTGTAATGAGAGTTTGTGGTGGATCTGATGGCACAAAGACTCCAGAACCTTTGAGTAATTTTGAGCCTTTTCTGCCAGCAGATATAGATTTTCCTCTCATATTTGAAGAGATTAAACTTCCTTTGCTGGAAGACCTTATTATGACCTCATTTGGGAAGTTTCCTTACAAGATAATGCCTATCCTCTTCAAGACCCACCCCCACCACTACTTGTTGCTTCTAGACCCAAAACTAGGGTAATATTTCATCATAATTCAGAGTCACAGATAGAAAATGGCTTAAACAGGTTGCAGAAGAGACTGAGAATTTGACTAAGGAACCTACCAGAGGGAGTCACCTTAGCTGGGTAAGGTGGTTTCCCAAGAAACTGTAGAATAGATTTCCTAAATAAGAGATGAATGGTAGTCATATTTCAGAGAAATCTAAGGGACCAAATGAGATTGTCAAGGTACTGGACTCTGAGCAATTGAGACAGATAAACCAGATACACTGTGGGGAAGGAGAGGTCATTAGACATTGTTTCCAGAGATCCCAACTTATCCTCATTTTAATATCTTGTATAAATACCCTTTGCCCCACACACATAGACACTGTGTTAAAGAGAAAAGAGAGATGTAGACAAGCTATCTGAAAAACACTCAATTTAAGAGAAGTGAAACATTTCTTAAATGTATTATTTAAATAATCAGATCAGAATAAGTATTTGATCAAATTAGGGAATGAATTATTTTCCATTCTAATAATCAAATGAAGATGAGAAAAAAAAACTATACTAAATGAGGAAATTACATTGTTTTAGCACTGTGCTCGCCCCTTGGGGAAACAACCACAGACAAGATTATTTTAGTCTCTACACTCAAGGATCTTAAATTATGGTAGAGGAGACCAACAAAATGTAAGTAAGGAAACACATATAAAATAATTAGATGTGGGGGTAGATGCTATGAAAAGAACAATAGCAACAAAACAGACTTTAATAGGTAGATGTAGATTATTTGACATTGTAGATACAAACAAATTTTGTGGAGAAGTAACATTTAAGTGAAGACATGAAGGATGAGAAGAGGTTGATCTGAAGATAGTGAGAAACAATGTCCCAGGTAGGCTCGCTCACAGAGACAGGAAATGGTGGCAGAGGTTGGAAAGACAGGTACTAAATAATGCTGCACTTTATAAAGTATCTTAATGATTATATAGTTCACAGAGGGATAGGAGCCATTGGGGTATTTGCAAAAGGAAGTCAACATATTTTTATTAGGTTTCACAATCATTCTCTCTGTGTGGATAATAGACACGAAAGGAAATAAATCAAGATAGTTGCCTGAACTAGAGTAGGAAGCAGTGGTGGTAGAAAGAAGTGGATTATAAGAAAGGTGAATTTTCAAGGCAGAGTTAATAGGATAGTAGATTAGTCATATTTACATATTAATAAGAAAAGACAGTGTGATACAAAGAAGGTGAAGCTTAGGTTTCCTTAAAAAATAAAGAAGTTATGGTTGTTTCTTACCTCTTTCATATCTTCATAGAATAGGTAGAGGATAGGAAAATCTTTCTTTTTCTCCCACCAGCCCTTCACATGGTCATACCAAGAACCAAAAGCCACTGCATTGAAAAATAAAATGTTTGCAAAATTTAAACAATTTACATGAAGTAAAGAATTGCTAAATGCTATTCCAAGTCATCACTATCAATACATACATAGTGTTTACTTATTAGTTCAATAAAAAGAGATGGTAATATAAAGGAAGTATATCAAATCAACCCTGCTCTCGCTGAATTTACATTCAGAAAGAGTAAAATACTTCTGTTTTGGGATGAATTGTGTTCCCCCCAAATTTTTAGGTTTAAGTCCTAAAGCCCAGTCAGTACTTCAGAATATGACTGAATTTAAACATGGGACCTTTAAGGGGGTAATTATGTTACAATGAGGTAAATAGGGTGGGCCCTAATCCAGATGACTATTCACAAGCTTTAAAATCAAATAAAATTTGCTCTGCTAGGTTTCAGGCTTTTTCTTTCTGATTTCTCATTTTTTTTCACATGGGAATGTCTATCTTATGGCTGTCCCAATATGGTATTTTGGAAGAAGATTATTTGATTTCACAAGTTCACAGCTAAGGAGGAATTTTGTTTCAGGATGAATCATACCTTAACTCTCACCTATACCTGATTTACATGATATTTAGATGATATTTTAGACTCAGAGTTGATACTGGAATAGTTTAAGATTTTCAGGGTTTAAGGGATAGAGTAAATGCAATTTGCATGTGAGGACATAAGTTTTGGGGGCCCAGAAGGCAGAGTATTATGGCTGAATTGTGTCTACCCTGAAATACATGTGTTGAAGTCCTAAGCCCACTGCCTCAGAATGTGACTATATTTGAAGATAGTGGCTTTACAGAGATAATTAAGTTAAAATGAAGTCATTAAGATGGGTCTGTGGGAGTTCAGAATCAGTCTTCCCATGATGTGCCACTCTGGCATGAAGATTATTTCAAGCTGAAAATGATCAAATCTCACAGTCTCAAGAAGAAACTTTGGCCTTTAAAAGAATTGAAGCAAGTGGACATGCTCCAGGATGGGAGATATCATAGAATACTACAGTTCAATTTGAACTAGGTATGGTAGACAGGGAGGAACGTACCAAAACCCATTTGATCAAAGTCCTTCATATGTCCCATTGCTTCAAGATGGCCCATAAACATTTGTTTACTAAAAATCTCCTTATACATTTGCCTTACTTCCCTGGGTCCTTCTCCTTGATCCAGAATGACATTTATACCTCATTTTGCCTTCCTGTCTGAAATTTTTATGCTTAGGTGAATTATGCAATAAAAGTTGATTTTCTTTTGTTAATCTGCCTTATGTTCATTCTACTAGCCAGAAGAACTAAGAGGGAAAAGGGAGTTTTCACATCCCTGACAGGTCTTAATCCAATATGACTGATTTCCTTATAAGAAGAGGTATTACAACCCAGACATATACAGCGAAGACCATGTGAAGACACAGACAAAAGATGGCCATCTACAAGACAAGGAAAAGCGCATCAGAAGAAATTAATCATGAGGATACCTTTATCTTGAATTTTTAGCTTCCAAAACTGTGGGAAAATACTTTTTTGTTGTTTAAGCCACTCAATCTGTGGTATATTGTTGTGGCAGCCTTAGCAAATGAATATCAGCTTTGGTAAATAAAACTAAAACTAAAAGAGCTAGATGGCAGTTAACAATACAGACAATAAGTGGTAAAGATGTTCATAGGAGAGGAAAGAGAAAGAGAAAAGCATTGGGATGGAGAGGCAAAGAAAAGGCTGTGGAGGAAGTAAGCTGTATCTGGTTCTAAAAAGAGTTGGGCATTGATAATAATAAGAATGAGTAGATATTCTACAGCCTGAGAACAGTTCAAACAGTGGCAGGAGTAAAACATTTGCAAAATACCACTGAGATGTATTTGCCTTAAAAAGAGACTCTTTATTAGAAACTTTTTATATGAGAATTAAAGTAGAGTTACTACCATGGGTATCAGTATGTTTTCCTGAAAGAGATGATACACAGATAGATAAACAGAAACTTGAAAACAAAATCTTCACTTAAGAATTTTCAGTTTATAGAATTAAAGTGAAGAAATGGTTAAGAAAAGAAAGTCCAAGAAATATGTCTAAAATCAAAACAATACAATGACATATATAACAAGAGAAAATATCATCTGGCAGTAGTCATCAAGTAATAATGAAACAATGAGGCTAAGGGCTGAAAAATCTGTATGTTATATATTCCCCAAAAGTCCTTAATGTACATTTCTTCTATTGTCTTCCTAATGCAGTAGTAGAGTGCTGGGCAAATATTAGGTTTATAAAAAATACAAAATTTATATCTGAACTTTATATATCCTTGCAAAAAAAGACTTTTCATCATGCAACTCCATGATTAAAGTAACAATTAGACTCACCCTTCCCGGTCATGAATTTATGCAGAAACTCCTCCCAGGTACCAGGCTCTGGGTGCATTTTTGCCATTTGGTAGAAATAATAGTAAGACACAGCCACATCTTTAGCATTCCGTGCTACATAGATCATCTGTGGGGAGATATGAGAAATCATCATTTTGTTTCTATTCTTTAATTGCTTGTAAACTTTTTTTTTTTTTTTTTTTTTGGTATGTGCCCCTAGTGGGAACCGAACCTGGGTCTCTCTGGACCGCAGGTGGATGTTCTAACCGTTGAGCCAAACTGGCCAGAGCGCTTGTAAACTTTTGATTACCTTGACAGAATGCCTATTTTCTCTTTCTTATTTCTTGATCTGGGTGTGTGTATCTATATCCTAACATAGGATATTGACAACTAAATTGTTTTAACACAAAGACATTTCTCACAATCCTCTGTTCTCTTTAGCCTTTGAAGAGAACATCTCTTGAAACATGAAAAACTAAGTATAATAAGAATTACAATAAATATTAAACTAACAAAAATTAATATTGTTCTAAAAGTTAGAATACTTTCTGTATCATCACTTATTAAAACTAATAAAAATAGAAATTTTTAGAGTTAAAAATGCCCAATTTTTCATTAAAAATAAATTATTATTTGGATAAATTTAGTCAATAAAGATTAAACATTCTTCATTCTGTCCATGTTTATACTGATTAGTGTGAGATTAAAATATTTTTTATGTTGAAGGCATCCAGTTTGCTTAAAGGCAGAAATTTTGAATGTATTTCCTATGATTTCACACATATGTGGAATCTGGAACAAATTGAACTAACAATCAAAATAGAGACAGTCTCATAGATAGAGAACAGGCTGACAGCTGTCAGGTTGGGGGGTGTGGTTAGGAGAGGGATATGGAGGGATTTAACAAAAAAAAAAAAAAAGAGAGAAAGAACTCAGTGTGGTGATTGCTGGGGCAAGAGGGGTAGGGAGATGTGAAGGAGGGTATAAAGGAGACAAATGGTGATCGAAGGAGACTTTACTTGGTGTGGTCAACACACAATGCAATGTATAGATGATGTGTTGTAGAATTGTGCACCTGAAACCAACAGTATTTTGATCCTTAGAATATACAGACCACATTATTATTTTTAAAATAATTTATCCAGAAGTTTAAATCTCTCATCTTAACTTCTGGATAATTAGTAAAAGAAATCACAGCACAAATAAAAATTTTTTTTCTTTAAAATTTGCTACCTTGCAGTTATTCTTCCAAAATGAAGAAGGAAGAAGTTGAACAGGTAAGTGTGTTTTCACTAATCGAGGAGACTGCATTTTTTTTAAATCCTCAATGCCTACAAGCATAAAAGTTAAATTATATTATAAATGTGAAATCATAAAGGTCAATTACAATATAATCTTTGTAAACTTTAACCCCACTATATGGCTTGAAATGACTAAATGGCTAAATAGCCTCATATACTTCTAATATCTACAATGAGATTTTTAAAAATAATAAATTCTGCTTAGCTAGGCTGTTTTATTGCCTATGAATCATAGAGTTTATTATCTTTGTAAGTGTCTATAAAATCTTCAGATAGAGCACCTTCCTGATGAAGCAAAAACAGCAGTAGGTCAAGTGCAATATGTCCACATGTTTCCTTCATTTATCTTCCTCTTTGTCTCATTTACAATGTGGGGAAATTGAACAATGGAATTTCAAAATCCCTTTCCAGCTTTCTTTTTTGGCATTTTAAAATATATTTTTAAAATTTATTTTTTAATTATAGTGACATACAATATTATATTTGTTTCAGGTGTACAACATAGTGATTAGACATTATAATATCTTACGAAGCGATCACCCTGATTTAAGGTTAGTACCTTTATATCCCCATGACTATTTTTATAGCTGGCAATTTGTACTTCTTAATACCTTTCCAGATTTCTTACATTAAAATTCTGAGGTCAAATTAAGCTGTGAGGTTCATGCCTAATTTTAAAAATTTTAATAATGTAAGACTTTATATGCTCATAATTATTTTTTCTGAGTCTGCAAACATTGGCTAACTAGCAGTAGATATGATTCTATACCAGACCAAATACTGACTTTTTTAATGTATAATGATCACCCAATATTCAAATGTTAAAGACTTCCACCTGTCCTATTAATAAAAAATAGTCATCAAAATTTCCTCTTATGCAGATATTATCTTTGGGTAGAAGTGAAGTATAATATGATTATTGGAATAAGCAAATACTCTTGTATTATAGACACATTATTCGTGTCTGTATCATTTTTCACCATGACTCCTCTAGACAGCTAGGCCCAAAAAGATAGAAGAATCTACTCCTATGGTGAAAACACACATTAAGGGAAAGTACCATTTTCAATTCCAGGAATTATAAGTTCCATGAATGGCACTCGGTTGTATATTGCATCCCGTTTACATTTCTCCACATCTCCATTGTGATAGATCAAATCCAGTGTTTCACTGACCCAGGTTGTTCCTGAAAAAAGAAGAAGGAACTCTAAACTTTTCTATCACAAAGAGTGTGAGAGGGTCACAAGAAGTTGTGTAACATCAAAAACAAAACTGTGCTCTCTGAATTCATTCCTTTTCTCTCCTCTCCCTTTTCTTAGTAGACATCCTTAACTATCTTAAACATATACATGTGTATTGTGATGAAAATACTCATAAAAGTAATACCTGAAAAGGAAGTAAAATGTAGGGTATAAAAGAGACATTGTGGGTGCCTGGGTAGCTCAGCTGGTTAGAGCATCCTCCAGATACACCAAGGTTACCGGTTCAATCACTGATCAGGGCATATACAAGAATCAGCCAATGAATGCCTAAATAAGTGGACAACAAATCAATCTCTCTGTCTCTCTCAAGTCAGTAATTATAAAATAAAATAAATAAATAAATAAATAATTTGGGGAAAGAGACATTGTGTAAGTAATGATAGCTCGTCTTCTTATGTGGGATAGATGGGGGAAGCCGCCAGTTTTAATGAGTCTGAACACCAATTTGTACATTTCCTATTAATATCAAAATGACTATTATTCTTTGGAACTGAAAGGGTACTTCGAGTTAAAATGTTCAACATTTGGGGGAAGACAGACACAGGTGTGAGGGAAACAATGTCTGTGATCACTATATCTGTGGTGACCAGTGTGACACCGACAAATCAAAGATAATATATACTGTGGATCAAGTCACTCTTCTTTATGAAATTGTGTCTCACCAGTTTTGAGAAATTGATCTAATGTACATGAGCATATGATCTTCTTAATTGTCTGTTACTTGATGATCAGGTTATCAAGATGCTGTAAAAAAAGTGATTATAAGACATGGAAGAAAAATGTCTTCTTAAATGTTCCCATCTCCTTTCTCTTTACCAAACATGTAATGATAGTCATGGGTGGAAACTAAAAAATAAAATAAAATAATTAATATATGCAAACAGCATAATTTTTGAAGAATGATCTGCATCTGGGGGCACCTTTGAATTGGTTTCAGATATCAGAGTACTTTAAGCCACATTTTAATGAGTTCTTTCTGTGGACAAGTCTTCCTTTTCTTGTCCCTAAATAATGCATGCAGAACTCTCTTCCTGTCCTTGTAGCTCATACAATTACAGTGCTAAGAAAAAGGTGGGTCAAGTCAATACTATACTTGAATAGTTTGTTGCCTGATCTGGATAGGCTTAAGTAATGAATCACAGAACAAAAAAGACCTAAATTCAGCACATTTCATTTCCAAACAGAGGGTGGTTCAAAGAGTGGCCAATAAAATCTGATTTAAAACATGTCAATTTAGATAGTTTTTGAATTAAAAATGTTTATTTTCCATGAGTTTTGAAAAAAAGACATGGTTTAGCTCATATGAAGAGCAGGTTAATGCCATGGCCCATTTAGCTCAGTTGGTTGGAGTGTAGGCCTATACACCAAAAGGTAGCAGGCTCGATTCCTGATCAGGGCACATACTCCTGCTGTGGGTTTGATCCCTGGTCAGGGTGCAGGCAACCCATCGGTGTTTCTTCCATATCAATGTTTATCTCTCTCTTTCTTACTCTCTCTAAAATCAACAAAATATTTTTTAAAAGAGTTATTTAACTTGAATCTAAACTTGGAACATAATTTTAAAAAAACAACCAAAGAGAGTATGTGATTAATTTATGTGTGGCTATTTAGCCATCTAACATTTAGTACGTCAGAAAAAATTCAGCTCCAAAGAGCACCTCTGTAGATAAACTATTTGTATAATGGCACCTTCAAAAGATTACATTAATAGTTTCCTATCTGTAAATATATAAAAATAGCAAAACCAAAAGCATGTACATCCTCAGTGATTGCCCTCCCTTTTCTAAACTTGTATCTCAACAAGAAAATGCAAAGTAAAGTAGTTTTGGTCTTTAATAATTTGGGTTTTGGGAACTACTCAGAGAGCAATGTAAGTACAGTAGTAAGAAAAGAAAGAAAAAAACAAGCTTTTGCCCAAACAAGCTCTTTTTTTTTTTTCCAGATAGAGTGGGAGGGAGGGAGAAAGAGGGAGAAGTAGAAAGAGAGACACATCAATATGAGAGAGGTACATCCATTGTTTGCTTCCTGCATGACCCCGACCAAGGCTGGGGATTGAACCTGCAACCAAAGTATAGTCCCTTGACTGGGAATCAGACCCGGTACTCTTTGGTCTGTGGGCCAAAGCTCTAACCATTGAGCTAACTGGCCAGTGCCGGGCTCATTTTTTATATCTACAAAAATCTGTATGATACATGTCTTTACTTTCTAGTAGGAACCCATTGGTGTCATGCAATATTTGTAATGTTGGCACAATGGAATCCCCTGAATTCAGGCCTTTCCCCCAGGACTTGGTACATATTTCTTTGAAGTAATTTTAATATGTATAATCTTAAAAAAGTTCAGTGATCAATATACTAATTAAAAATGTCTTTTCCTCATTTCCATTAAGAAATTAGAACAGCTGATCGATCATGGGTCCCAACAACTTAATTGGATTAAAGTAGTTGCGGAAAGCTGCATCCCTCTGATATTTCTCTGTACATCTGTTGCTGGGTAAAGTAGAAGACAATGCCATCAAAAGATCTGAAGAAATAAAAGTTATTGATTCTTAAATTTTTTTTGAGACTGTTCACTAAAGAGAGCAATTGTTTACATTTATAACAAAGTATTTCTAAGCCTCCATTTAATTTTGGGCCTTTCAGAATAGGAAGTGAGTTTGTCTAATTTGTTTGATAAAATTATCCCAGCAACAGCTCCAATGTTCCTTTCACAAGTGATCTGCAGATCTGTGGGTTAACACATATGCACCAATAACTAATCAATAAGAATGGCTGACCTTTGAACAATGTGGGGGTAAGGGTTGCCAACCCTAACTTTTGAGAGTCCCCAAAAGCTTAACTGGAGATATCTATCCTCAGTATTCACAGAAAATTGGTTTTAGGACTCCTGAGGATACCCAAATCCCTGGAAGCTCACGTTTCATATAAAATGATGTACAGCAATGCATAGAGTCAGCTTTCAACATTTGCAAGTTCCCATCTGAGGACAGAAAATACAGTTTTCCATCTGCAGTTAGTTGAATCTGCTGATGCACAACCTGGAGCTATGGATGACCAATTGTATTTACATGTTTTTTAAATCCATAAATAAGTAGATCCTGTACAATTCAAACCCATGTTGTTTAAGGGTCAACTGTACAAATGGGTGAAAAGATCTTACCAGATTTGGGATAGGTGGCAATCAAAAGGTCATCTGGTCGGGATTCAAATGACTCCACCTGGGACCACTCCTCAACAATGCTCCAGAACATAGCGACACCCTGAATATCCACTAACTCCCTTCTGTAGACATCCTGATTGTGGTCCATGTTTGAGATACTAGATTTTATACAAAGAGGCACATGTTAAAAAGTTGTTTGAATAGCTTCAATCAAATTAAAAAATAAAGTTTTATTAAATAAAATAATATTTCATTTTTCTAGAACCAGCAAAATCAGATCACAGTACTGTGCATTATGAATCAGCAAAAGGAAAAATATAGTATTGTAAGAACCAATGAGGCCTTGCACAATTTATTTCATATGTACTGTTTATATGATAATATCATCAATATTTTTCATGTGTGTACTGCATTGTGTACAGATTTTTCGTATGTAACAAACTCACTGGACTTTGGAGTTAGAAGAAAGTGTCTTAACCACAGCACTGCCAATTTATTGCAGTGGGAATCTGAAGAACCCCCATGACCGCACTGAACCACCTTAACTATAAAATCAGGAGTGGCCTAACTTAGTATATCCCTCCCTTAAATTACTGGCTGAACCAGTAAAGTTAACTAAGATAAAGGTAAATTATTCTAAGTTATCTACAACAGACCACAAGAATAACAGGTGTGTGTTTGGAGGGGGTTGGTTGAGAAGAAAAGAACCTGAAGTAAGTGTAGTATTGGAAATACATTTCTCTGATTAAGTTTTTAGCACTAGTAACATTATGTCATTTTATATTCTTGCCAAGGCTCTAATGAAGGTACTTATTCTTCTTTAGCTGTCATATGTAAAAAGTGGAAAAGATTGAAAGATATCCTATGTACCAGTCCAAAACATGTTGTTTCCCAATTTAGCATGAGCTGAATATTTATTTTTCTTTCTCTAAAGTTCTAGAAAAATGAGACAATCTAACAACCTCAGATTTAAAAGGCTTCCTAAGGCCCTCTAGCAGCTACTGACTCTTTCTTCAATAATTAAAATCAGAAGTCTCTGAAGTCAATAGATATAATTTAACTTGTGTCTTTTCCAAAGTGCAGTTTCTTATTTTCTTTTTATTTTTTCATGTCCTTCCAACTGCACCCTTATCCTACATCATCCAAATACCTTTTATTTTAAAAGGTTATGAATGTTGCAGGATACAAAATCAACATGCAAAAATCTGTTGCATATCTATAAACTAATGAAAAACTATCACAAAGAGAAATTAATTAAATAATATCATTTGCAATTTTATATAAAAAAAATACCTAGGAATAAATTTAACCAGAGATTGAAGACTTATACACTGAAAACTATAAACCATTAAATAAAGAAACTGAAGAAGGCACAAATAAATGGAAAATTATTCTGTGCTCACAAATTAGAAAAATTAATATTATTAAAATGTCCATACCAACCAAGGTAATCTACAGGTTCAGTGTAATCCCTGTCAAAATTTCAAAGACATCTTTCACAGAAATAGAGAAAACAATCCTAAAATTTGTATACGACTACAAAAGACCCAACATAGCCAAAGCAATCTTGAGAAAGAAAATCAAAGCTGGAGAGGCATCACACTCCATGATTTCAAAGTATATTACAAAGCTATAGTAATCAAAACAGTATGATAGTGGCATAAAAACAGGTTCATGGATAATGAGAACAGAATACAGAGCCCAGAATTAAATGTACACATACATGATCAATTAATTGATGAAAAAAATATACACTTGGGAAGGGTAGTCTCTTCAATAAATTGTGTTGGGAAAACTGGACAGTCACATGCAAAAAAAACAAATCTTATATCATGCACAAAAATTAACTCAAAATGGATTAAAGATTTGAAAGTAAGAGCTGAAACCATAAAACTCCCTAAAAGAAAACATTGTCTTGGCAATAATTTTGTGAATCTGACACCAAAAGCAAAGGTAACAAAAGTAAAAAGTAAACAAGTGGGGCTATATCAAACTAAAAAGCTTCTGCATAGCAAAGGAAACCATTAACAAAATGAAAAGACAACCAACCAAATGGGACAAAATAGTTAAAAATAATGTTTCTGATAAGGGGCTAAATACCCAAAATATATAAAGAACTCATACAACTAGATACACAAATCAAAAAATCTGATTAAAAAATGGGCAGAGGATCTGAATAGACATTTTTCCAAAGAAAACATATAACTGGCTAACACATATATGAAAAAGTGCTCAACATCACCAATCATCAGTGAAATGCAAATCAAAACTACAATGAGATATCACCTCTCATCTGTTGGAATGGCTATTTTTAAAATGACAAGAAATGGCAGATTCCAAAATGGCGGTGGAGCAAATGGAAGCTACACAGGTCCATCTCCCAGGACCAAACTAGAATTATAATGAAAATAACAACAAATTATCAGGGGAAAGCAACAGAAAATCAGCTTGGAGGACCACATAACCAGGGACACAAACTCAATCCTGGTAGGATTGCGGAGCCACAAGAGGGGAGCTGGGAGCCTGCAGACAGCAGCAGCCTTAGCTGTAAGCTGCACCCTTGAGTTAAACTCCTAAGTGGCTCCACAGCACAGAGCCGGGACAGACGATAAAATAGCCACAGCCACTTAAATTGGGCTCTGGCAGAGGGAAGGCAGACTGGACTAGAACTGTGTGGGGACACTTGGGATTTGGAGGATGCTCACAGCTTTTGCTAAGTTGCAGCCATGCAGAACAATGGTCATCTTACTCCTTCCCAGGGCTCTGGGGAGAGGCAGCTGCCCTCACTCAGAGATTCAACCCCACCCAGAGGCCATTGAAATGCAAATTTAGACCCATTAACAACCAGCATCTGCCCCACCCTCGGGAAATCCCCTTACAATAAGCACCTGAGGGAGTTTTTCAGTCAACTGAGAAGCCAAGGCTCTTCAAGGAACCACCTCCAGGCAAAAAGCTAGAGGATAACTGTACCATTCCTGGGCTAACAACTCTAACCAGGGAAGTAAGACTTGACATTGGTGTTTAACATGGGTCCTCCCTGCCTCATCCAAACCCAGGAGAGGGAGCCACAAACAGCAGAACACCAACACCCACAGGGAAAATTTGGCAGGCTCCAAAGCCCACTGTGATAGCCAAAATGGTGAAACACAGAAACAAAAGCCAAATGAAAGAACAAGAGACCTCTACCGAAGATGAGATAAATGAGGTGCAGTTAAGCAAGTTAACAGAACTAGAATTAAGAGTCATGATCTTGAGGAAGCTCAACAGCATGTGTAAGGACATGAGTACCACGAGTAAAGACATAGAAATGTTGAAAATCCACCAAGAAAAAATGAAGAATGACATATCAGAAATAAAGAACACATTGGAAGGTCTAAACAGGAGAGTAGAGGAAGCTGAGAACCGGATCAGTGAATTAGAAGACAGGGAAGGAAAAAATCAACCAATCAGAAAAGCAAAAGTAAAAAACAACTGAAAAACAGGCAGACAGCTTAAGAGAACTTGGGACAACTGGAACGTAATAATATTCACATCATAGCAGTCCCCGAAGAAGAAGAAAATGAGCAAGTGTTAGAAAATATGTTTGAAGAAATAGCGACAGAAAACCTCCCTAATTTGGTGAAGGAAGAAGGCCTACAAGTTCAAGAAGCACAGAGAGCCCCGAGTAAGAAGAACCCAAAGAGGCCCACACCAAGACACATAGTAATTAAAATGCCAAAAATTAAAGACAAAGAGAGAATCCTAAAGGCAACAAAAGATAAGCAACAGGTTACCTACAAAGGAACCCCCATAAGGCTCTAGGCTGACTTCTCAACAGAAACACTACAGGCCAGGAGGAAATGGCAAGAGGTAATCAAGGCAATGAAAAGCAAGGATCTGAATCCAAGACTACCCAGCAAGGCTATTATACAAAATAGAAGGTCAAATAAAGAGCTTCCCAGACAAAAAAATGGCTAAGGGAATACATTAGCACCAAACCAGCACTGCAAGAAATGTTAAAAGGACTGCTGTAATTAGCAGGAGAAATAGGAAGAAAAGTATAACCACACTGAACAAAAATGGCAATAAATAAGTACATATCAATAATCACCTTAAATATAAATGGATTGAATGCTCCAATAAAAAGACACAGAGTAGCTGATTGGATGAAAGCATGACTCATCTATATGTTGTTTACAAGAGACCCATCTCACAACAAAAGACTCACATAGGTTGAAAGTAAAGGGATGGAAAAAATCTTCCAAGCAAACGAAAAGGAAAAAAAAAAAAAGCTGGGGTAGCAATACTCATATCTGATAAAGTAGATTTTAAAATGAACATCATAACTAGAGACAAAGAAGGCCACTACATAATATTGAAAGGATCTATCCAACAGGAAGATATAACCTTTGTAAACATATATGCACCCAATAGAGGAGTAAAAAATATATTTAAAATCCTCTGGAAGACTTCAAAGGAGAAATGGATAGTAATACAATCATAGCAGGGACTTCAACACCCCGCTGACATCACTGGATAAATCTTCTAGACAAAATATTATCAAGGAAACAAAGACTCTAAATGAAACACTAGACCAAATGGATTTAATAGATATCTACAGAGAATTACACCCCAAAACTACAGAATTTACATTCTTCTCAAGTGCTCATGGGACATTCTCAAAGATAGACCACATGTTAGGGCACAAACTAAGTCTCTACAAGTTCAAGATGATTGAAATCATATCAAGCATCTGCTCAGATCACAATGGCATGAGACTAAAAATCAATTGCAACAAGAACATGTAAAGACATTTGAACACATGGAGGCTAAATTGCATGTTACTAAACAACAAATGGGTTACCAAGGAGATCAAGAAAAAAATTAAACACTTCCTGGAAACCAATGAAAATGAATACACAACAGCATAAAATCTATGGGATGCAGCAAAAGCAGTTCTGAGAAGGAACTTCATAGCACTACAGGCCTAACTCAATGAATAAGAAAAATCTCTAATAGATTAATTAACCTCACAACTTAAAGAACTAGAAAGCAAACAAAAAGAAAACCCCAGAGCAAGTAAAAGGAAGGAAATAGTAAAGATCAGAGCAGAAATAAATGACATAGAGTCCAAAAAAACAATTCAAAGGATCAATGAAACTAAGAGCTGGTTTTTCGAAAAGATAAACAAGATTAATGGACCCTTAGCTAGACTCACCAAAGAGAGAGAACCCAAATACACAAAATCAGAAATGAAAGAGGAGAAGAAACAACCGACACCACAGAAATACAAAAGATCGTTAACAACTACTATGAACAATTATATGGCAACAAATTCGACAATCTAAGTGAAATGGACAAATTTCTAAAACAGATAGTCTCCCAAAACTGGATCAGGAAGAGATAGAAAACTTGAACAGACCGATAACAACTAAGCAAATTGAAGATGTAATCAAGACTCTCTCAGCAAACAAAAGCCCAGGCGCAGATGGCTTCACGGGGGAGTTTTACCAAACATTAAAAAAGACTAACACCCATTCTCCTCAAACTATTTCAAAAAATTCAAGAAGAAGGAAGACTTCCAAACTTGTTTTATGAGGCCAGCATAATTCTAATTCCAAAACCAGAAAAAGATATTACAAAAAAAAAAAAATACAGGCCAATATCCCTGATGAACATAGATGCCAAAATCCTGAACAAAATATTAGCAAATCAGATCCAGCAATACACCAAAAAAATTATTCACCATGACCAAGTGGGATTCATTCCAGGGATGCAAAGCTGGTACAATATTTGCAAATCAATAAATGTGATACACCACATAAATAAAATGAAGAATAAAAACCACACGATCATATCAATAGATGCTGAAAAAGCCTTTGACGAAATCCAGCATCCATTTCTGATAAAAACACTCAGCAATGTGGAAATAGAGGTATCATATCTCTACATAATAAAGGTCATATATGAAAGACCTACAGCCAACATCTTACTCCATGGACAAAAACTAAAATCATTTCCCTTAAGAACAGGAATAAGACAAGGATGCCCACTTTTGCCACTCTTATTTAACATAGTACTGGAAATCTTATCCACAGCAATCAGACCGGAAAAAAAATAAAAGGGATCCAAATTGGAAAGGAGGAAGTGAAACTGTCATTATTCGCAGATGACGTGATACTATACGTACAAAACCCCAAAGGCTCCATCAAAAATTTACTAGACTAATAAATGATTTTGGCAAAGTAGCAGGATACAAAATTAATGTCAAGAAATTGATGGCATTCTTATACATTAATGACGAACTCACAGAAAGAGAAACTAAGAAAACAATCCCATTTACCATTGTGGCAAAAAAATTAAGATACCTAGAAATAAACTTAACCAAAAAATAAAGGACCTATTCGCAGAAAACTACAGGTCATTCACTGAAAAAAGAAATAGAGGAAGATATAAAAAAGTGGAAGCACATACCTTGTTCATGGATTGGAAGAATTAACATTATTAAAATGTCCATACTACTCAAAGCAATCTGTACATTCAATGCAATCCCCATCAAAATACCAACGACATATTTCACAGAACTAGAACAAATACTTCAAAAGGTCATATGGAACCAAAAAAGACCTCGAATAGCCACAGCAATCTTGAAAAAGAAGAACAAAGTTGGAGGGATCCCATTACCAGATTTCAGGTTATACTACAAAACCACTGTAATCAAAACAGCCTGGTATTGGCACAAGGACAGGCATATAGACCAGTGGAACAGAACAGAGAACCCAGAAATGGACCCAAGGCAATATGCTCAATTAATATTTGACAAAGGTGGCAAGAGCATACAGTGGAGTAAGGACAGCCTCTTTAATAAATGATGCTGGGAAAATTAGACAGCTACATGCAAAAAATATAACTAGACCATCAACTTACACCATACATGAGAATAAACTCAAATGGATAAAAGACGTAAATGTGACTCATGAGTCCATAAAAATCCTAGAAGAAAATGTAGGCAACAAAATTTCAGACATCAGATGTCGCAGAATTTTCACTGATACATCACTAAGGAAACAGAAACAAAGGAAAAAATGAACACATGGGATTACATCAAACTCAAAAGCTTCTGCACAGCAAAAGATGAAATCATCATAATGGAAAGGCAACCCACTGTATGGGAGAGCATAACTGCCAATGGTACATCAGATAAGGGGTTAATTTCCAATATATAGAGAGTGATCATACAACTCAACAAAAGGAAGACAAAGAACCCAATTAAAAAATGGGCAGAGGAACTTAATAGACACCTCTCTGAATAGGACGTTCAAATGGCTAAGAAACATACGAAGAAATGCTCAACATCACTCATCATCAGAGAGATGCAAATTAAAACAACAATGAGGTATCACCTCACACCTGTCAGAATGGCTGCCATCAACAAGTCATCAAACAACAAGTGTTGGCGAGGGTCTGGAGAAAAGGGGACTCTCGTATACTGCTGGTGGGAATGCAGACTGGTGCAGCCACTATGGAAAATATTATCGTGTTACCACAAAAAATTAAAAATTATACTTCCATTTGACCCAGTGATCCCGCTTCTAGGAATATACCCTAAGAAATCTGAAACACCAATCAGAAAGAATATATGTACCCCCATGTTTATAGCAGTACTATTTACAATAGCCAAGATCTGGAAACAGCCCAAATGTCCATCAGTAGACAAATGGATCAAAAAGCAGTGGTACATATATACAATGGAGTACTATGCAGCTGTAAGAAAGAAAGATCTCTTATCTTTTGAGATGACATGGAGGGACCTGGAAAGTATCATCTTAAATGAAACAAGCCAAACAGAAAGACAAGTATCATATGATCTCACTTATTTGTGGACTATAATGAACATAACAGTCTGAGGAATGGGGTAGTACCAGAGACATGGAAGTGGGGTACAGACTGACAATCCCCAGAAGAGGGAGTGGTGGGGGAGAGATAAACCACAGAACTTATATGCATGTATGCATGAACATTGGACATGGACAACAAAGCTGGGGACAGGGAGAGGACGGAAGGGGAGAGGGAAATAGTGGGCAAAAAAGGAGAAACATCTGTAACAAAAATAAACTAATTAATTTTTAAAAAAAGAAAGAAAAAATATAATGACAAAAAATAACCAGTGTTGGCAAGGATCTGGAAAAAGGGGGACACTTGTGCAGTGTCCATGGAAATGTAAATTGGTGTAGCCACTATTTAAAACAATATGGAGTTTTCTCAAAAAATTAAAAATAGGACTACCAAATAATTCAGCAATTACACTTCTGAGTATCCAAAGATAATGAAAACATTAATTTGAAAAAATATATGCACTTCCATGTTCATTGTGGTATTATTTAAAATAGTCAACACATGGAAATCATGTGTGTCCTCCAACAAATGAAGGGATAAAAATGTGGTATATATGCCCAAGGCGACATTTTTCAGCCATAAAAATAATTAAATATTGTCATTTGTCACAACATGGCTGGACCTGAGGGCATTATGTTACATAAAATAAGTCAGAGAAAGACAAATACTGTATGATTTCATTTATATATGGACTCTAAAAAACAACATAAAAAACCAATGAGCTCATACATCTAGAGAACAGATTAGTATCTGCCATATGTGGAATTGGGGAAATGTGTACAGTGAGTGAGGGGTTCAAAAGTACAAACTTATAGTTATAACATAAATAGTCATGAGGATGTAAGGACTGCTGAGAGTAATTTTAAAAGTTCTTATCACAAGAAAAATAAATTTTATAATTATTTGTGGTGGCAGATGGTAACCAGACACTTATTGTGTGATCATTGATTATTTCACAATATATGCAAATATAAAATCATTACATTATACATCTGAAACTAATATAATGTTATATGCCAATTATATATCAATTAAAAAATTAAGAACAACATCATCTAATTTCTCAAGTGAAATAAATGTATTCTAAATGGTAAAAGGGTATGGTTCAAATTATTTAACAATTATTTTCTAATTAAAATTCACTTCATTTTACTGCCCAGGAATTTATTAAAAGCGTAGCAACTTTATCCTAAGTAACTCAGCATTGGAACTCAGAAAGCCTATACATTTACATGATAGCCCTCAGACATTTTATGTCCCCTAACCTCTTTAGCCCCACCTCTCTTCAAAATAAGAACTTGGGAGGAAATTATAATAGGGAAAAATAATTTTAATACTTGTTAAATTTAATTCATGACCTGATTGCTGCCTCTATAGATTAACTTTTCAAAGTAGCTAATGTTTGTGCTACTACCTCATATTTCTAAAACCTTATTACAGATATTTCTATTAGACCGGAACTCAGCTTTCCAGTTGCTTTTTCTTGTTTCTGCCCAATTACCCACAGCTTCTTTCTTTCACAATAAGTAGTTGGCAGACTGATACTAAAACTCAGGCTTTTTAATCCAAATCAAGTTCTTTAACTTTTTCTCTAACACATTAAAAACTATCAAAATGAGAAATGTTTTAGAGTATTATTGTTATACAGTACGTAATCAGAACTTCTAAAACTAATTCATAAAGACTCAGTGAGATGTAGACTATACCTTCTGAATCCTGAATCCTGCCCCTGCCCCTGCCCCGCCCCAGACCCATTAACACTGACCTGTTTTGTCTTGGCCGAGAAGTTCAGTTGGTTAGACTGTGTCCAGATAAACCAAGGTTGAGGATTTGATTCCTAGTCAGGGCACATACAAGAAGCAACCAATGAATGCATAAATAAATGAAACAACAAAGCAATGTCTCTCTCTCTCTCTCTCTCTCTCTCTCTCTCTCTCTCTCTCTCTCTCTCTCTCTCTCTTTCCAATCAATAAATTAAAAAACAAAAAACCTGACCTGTTTTGCAATTCATCGTATGAGTTACAAGCTGTTGTGCTCTATAATATGACCACTTATATTAAGTGCACCTATGCTAATGGAGGAATTCTACAAGAAATTTTATGATCTTGGAAAAAGTTTCTTAAAATTCCTTCAATGTTTATTTAGTCCATTAATATTTACCAGATTTTCATTTTGCTAGGAGGCAGAGCTATATCTATAAATAGAGGGAAATTGACAGAGTCAAGCTGCTTGGAAATGTTTCCCGGGAGAAATGAGCAAGAGTTTATTTGGAGAAGAGAACTTTCCAGCGAGAAAGCGTTTGTAAAGACCCTCTGCTGTGAGAGACAATTAAAGTCTTTGTGCCTAGAACACAGAAAGTGAGGAAGCATGGTGAATACTTTGCCAAATTATGTGATAAGAAACTCAAGATTTCAGGGTTATTTCTGGATAAGTGTGTCTGGGATATACTGGGTTTCCGACTGGTCTCCACCAGAACAGGAGGGTCTGCTGCTCTGACACTGTGCACACTTTCCACAGCAGTTCTGTCCTGACATGAGAGACCAGTGATATGCACCTGAATCTGAGATGTTCCCGAATGTTACTGGGGGAGGAGTATCTAATTAGATATTAGTTGTGGTTGTTTTGTTTTTGTTTAACTTTTACCAAAAATCTTGCGATTTATAAATATCACAAAGTTTCAATACCAGCAGGTAATCCTAAATTGATTCTAGTGTTTGTTATACCTCAAAAGTAAGTTTAAGACACCTCTGGGCTTTGTGTTACTACTGTACCATTTCCTATTAATAGATGAATTTCATGGACATTTTGCCTGTGAAAAGAAAGCATAAGAATTCAAAAAAACTTCACAGCCAGAGGTTGCTTCCCCACCCCACCCCCCTCTTTCTAAATAACAAATTCTGACATATATATGTAATAGTACTTACTGGGAACTACTAGGTACCGAACAGTATTCTGGGCTCTGGCTTTAGAGCAGGAGCCGGGGCAGAGAAAATGCTGTGCCTTTAAACACCTTTATTTCTGAGCACAAGGACTGCATTTCTTCACTCTCCATTGTAACGAAGGGGAACATGTGCCTGGGTTCTGGCTGGTGGGCTCTGGGTGATGTAAAACCTTTCTTCCAATCTTCCCAATGCCATGGAGCCCTTGGAGTTTATGTGTGCAGTTGACTCGACACAAGACTGAGGTGCTGACCTCACTCTTCTTCAGACAGTGACAGTAAAAGATTCATTATCATCTTAAGCCATTGATATGTTGGTGTTTGCATTTTTTTACTCTAGTGGAGCCAAATATATTTGGGATAGTACAGGATAATTCTCAGGCCAAATACCAACTCTTACAGAGCTTATGGTCAGTGTGGAGTTATATATACAAAGAATAGATATAATATTATACAGAGATAAGTACCATGAAGAATAATAAAACACAGTAGAAGTATGAAGGATGAAAAGTTAAAGGACAGATTAATGAGTGTCCATATCATAAAAGTAATAAGCCTCATATGTAGCTCCAGAATTCTTATGTACTCTGTAAGTTTTCCTTAATGATTTCATCCAATTCAAAGTTGTAAACACTCTCTGTATGCTGATCCACACATGTAAGTGTCAATATCACCTGCCTGACCAAGACTTACCTATTAGCTACCTTCTGGACATTTTCTTGAATGTCTCAATTTTTTTACAAATTGAAAATGTTTAAATCTGAAGTCATTCCTTTGCAACCAAAGCTGCTTTTCTCACTGTTCTCTAGGCCCTCACTTAACTATAAATCTGTTTAGAAAACACACCAGCAACAACATAAAACCATTCTTGCTGAGTTTTAATGTATCTTCTACCAATTAAATTATGAGAAATGAAAAGTAATTTTCTGAACTGAGATCTGCTCTTCTAAATCATAGACATAGCTTCTGACATATATTCATGCCTCAAATATACCAGATAGATATATTTTAAGTTACACACTCGATATCTCCACTGGGTATATCATCTCAAAGGTGTGCTAGAAAAAGAAGCCTTTCTGGCCTATAGAGTTGAAACTGGCTTCATTTCTTCTCCCTGGTTAGCCATATTTGCCCTCTCATATGGACAACACTTTTTTATGGGATGCTAAGTATTTCAGTTCATCTCTACGACCTCCCATTTTTTATCTATAAAATGAGAGGATTGAAATACATTATGTCTGAGAACACTTCCAAATCTATTCTATGAATTTATATGTTTGGATACTGAATCACAGATTAGCTAGCATGGGAATCAGGTTATGGTCTACATTATGACATTGAAAAATTTAAACCCAACAGATGAAATATCCTCAAATGTATCAAATGATTTTTTCCAGTACATTTACATTGAAGTTACATATTACAATGTGCATATATACATATAAAACAAGCTGATATATATTTTTACTTTATTACAAGTTTTAAAATATATTTTTATGTATTATAGTCAATAGTTCTTGAAGTACTTACTATGTAGGCAATGTACTAATATGTACACAGATATTATTTATTTTTGTAAATTCTTATATCAATAAATTCTTGAAGATAAAAGTGTTTATATACCAAAGCTAAATTAATATAAGTATCCTAAAATAGAATCTTTGGTCAAGATTCAAAGAAGGAAGACATCCAACTGGGGATATTAGGAAAGACCTGGCTAATGATAATAGCAGTTGAGATCAGTTGTCAGTGTTTGACAGTATTTTAACAAGAATAGACATCATGATTATTCATTGGGGTGTGCAATGCATGGATGGGCATAAGAAAAGGAGAAGAAATGTATGAGAGATTTAGAAGATGATGACTGGATCAGGCTGACTGCAAGTTTCTCTGTTTTCAGGAGAGTATCTCATTCACTCATTGATTCCTTTACATCATCTGTGTCAACTCTGGGTCATTTATGTGCCAACAGTTGGCCAGACGAAAGATAGAAAAGCCTTTTGCCTACATAAAATTTGCTGTCTAGTGGGTAATGAAAGACATAGCTGGGAAGTTGTTGTTATTGTGGACAGCTGTGAATGTGCGCTTCCAAGTTTGTGTTTAATTAATGAGGAAGTGGAGAGTCACTTAAGATTTTGAACAGAGGAATGACATGATTGAATTAATATGGAAATGCAAGAAAGGGTTAAGAAGGGATGAGTATAAGGCAACATATATAATTCTCATAACTTCCTAGTGTTTTTGCAATGTTCAAATACAACATAAATACTGAAATCCACGTTTTAATTTGCTTATATACGGTATCTAATTTTTAAAAGAATTTTTTAAAAATTCATTTTTAGAGAGAGAGGAAGGGAGAGGTAGAGAAGAAAGAGAGAAACATTGATGTGAGGGCAGAACATTGATCAGCTGCCTCCTGCTTGCCCCCTATCAGGGATCCAATCCACAATCTTTTGGTGCACGGGACAATGCCCAACCAACTAAGCCACACTGTCCGGGGCTGGACTTTGATATTTTTGACCATATGTTCTTCTGAAACTCTCCTGTTTTGATTTTTATGTTACCACATTCTGATTGGTCTTTTATCTCTTTAATTCTTAATTTCCCAAAGGAATATTAGTGACAGAATTGCTTTTTTGCTTAGAGTCCCATAGTTCATAGTTGGTGTATTTTATAAATTTTTCTTTGGTTTTAACAACCACTTGTAATCTGATGCTCCAGAAAGTAGATTTATTATTACCTTGTTCTGAGCTCAAGGCCTATATCTCCAATTGCTATTGCCCATCTTTTCCCAGATGTTACTTAGGTATCTCAAACTTAATAATTACAAATTTAACTCATGAGCCTTGCTCTGTAGTGAATATCCTAGAGTCCTTATGTACCTTACAATTTGGTGATACCACATTCACCTCACCACTCAGGTCAGAAAAATGAAAAGTCTGTCTTCTTTTTGACTTTTCCAAATCTAACTGACTGATAAATCTGAATATTTCTTTTTTCTTTCAAGTAACCCTGGGAAAAGCAGCTTCTCTTTATGAAGTGACTTAGCAGTTAAGACTGTTAAGGTCTCTAGATTCATAATTAATATGCTAGATCTGTCATTCACTTCCAAAGTGAATCAGGGAAATCAAAATTCTAAATTCAATTTTCTAATCTTAAAATAGAGGTAATGATTTACTAATTTGACACAGCTATTGTGGTTGAGAAATAAGATGATAGATGTAACATGTATGTTGATAAAACATGGTGTATATTTGTTAAAGGGTAATATTACTAATATTATCATTATTATTACCCAGAAAAATACAGGTATGTCTTAATTTATGTCCTTATCATCATAAACCTTGTATTATGGCAATGGCCTTAAAAGTAGTCCCCTTATCTCTAATCTCAGTTCCTCCATTCTCCCTGCCAACTCTCAGTAAGATAGCTCTAAAACCTGAGCACAAAATAATTGGAAGGGTAAAGGTTAAAGAGCTTCACCATGGTTTTTCACATTTAAACTTCTCTGACTCTCCCTCTGTTTACCTCCATTGCACTTAGACTTTAGCCTCTAACAACAGGCAATTTATAAAAACAAAAGCATCCACCCTCTTACATCTAGCTATTGCAATTGCATGATTCTGTCTTTGAGCTGATACTCTTACTGCTCTTGTTTACCTGGGAAACTCTTGTTCATTTCTCAAAATCTTGTACAAATTACACATCCTCTAAAAAGCCTTCCTCATGATCTGAAAACAAAAGTACCTACTCTCTCTTCTTCATTTCCATATCGTGAATATACTGATATTATTTTATACATTTTTAGTGTGTTGTTATCAGTTTGCAATGTCTGTTTCTTTGATTAAAACTTACATTCCTTTTTCCAGGAGGCCTTGACTTTACTGAGGTTAATGAAT